GAACTAACGTTCTTAAGACAGATCCTGAGTGGTAGAGAGATAAAGTGATATAAGAAAATGCTAAAAGTTGGTGAATCTAGCCGAAGGGTGTGAGAGAGTGGTTTTGGATATCTCTTGCTTTGTTATTACTCTATAGACTGTTCTAACTTTTCCACAAGTTTGAAAAAGAGCAAGCGAAATGCACTCTCTCTGGTCTGCTGCACTGGAACTCACTGGAGAGTTGTGTAGGCCCAGAGTCATTCGTGTTAAGCAGCACTTCATAGGACCTGTGACCAAGAATCTGGGTTAAACAAAGTGTGCGATGGTACATTCTTAAGACTGGGACAGGTATGAGTGCACCTTCTCCCACCAATTTCCTTTAAAGGATGAGAGTGAATTGGCCAGCAAGTTCATGTTTGCTCCTTGAGTGAGTGCCACATGTCACCTGAGTGTTTGATAGGCCTCACAAACAGTAGAATAGCCACTTCCAATGTGGCATTAAGTGTTCCTTAAAATAATAACAAACCTTTAGCTGTTTAGTCTCATCTTTAAAACACAATGAAATACACAGGAGCAATTTGCCTGTGGGATGGGTGACCACAGGACAGCGTTACTGATGTTCTCTAATTCCTAAAACGACTTTGTCACTCACTACCTCTGTTTCACACAGGTAACATTCTCTATGATTTTGCTTATTCTAGCTGTCTAGCTTTCTCAATCTACCTTGGAGACCCTCTTACTTCTATGCCTCCCTTTAACTACTGGTCAAGTTCCATTATAACATCTTACCTTCTATTGCTAGTCAAGGCCTGGTTCATTCACCATGACTATAACACTCAACAGCGATCTAGCAGGTAGAAATCTTATAAAAGGCTATACGGTCGTCCCTCAGTATCCACAAAGGATCTGGTGCAGGACCCCTCTGGAAACCAAACTGCAGATGCTCAAGTCCCTTCTGTAAAATGGCATAGTATTTGCATAGAACCCCTGCTCATCCTTCTACACACTTTAAATCACTCCACATCACTTCCAACACTTAACAAAATTATAAGTGCCATGAAAACAGTTGTTACTGTTAGACCTTATTGTTCAGGAGATAATGACAAGCTGAAAGTCTGTACATGTTCCGCACAGATGAGAACTGTTTTCTACTTTCAGTTCTTGGCAGGGTGAATCCACAGATATAGAAGCCTTGGATACAGAGGGTCAGTTGGCCCAGCACTGACCTGCCCCACATCTACCAGGAAAGTCACTCACACATTGCTGTACTCTCATTTCTCTAGCTGTAAAATGCCCCTCAGAATAGTCAGGCCACATCCCGTCAATGCATTGGAAAGATCTGTGGAGAGAACTATCTTGTTTTCTTTTTTGCAGAGGGAGCGCTGGAGATCTAACTGAGGGCCTCACACGTGTTAAGTACGTGCTCTACACTGAGTTACAGCCCCAGCCCCATAAAAGGTATTCTATTTGATGATTTCGTCCCTGGCCTAAAGAAACTTACAACATAGTTGGAATGACAAAAACATGTCAGAAGTTACAGTGATTTGTGGAAAAGATTA